TGCCATGGCATCACAGCTCACAGCAACTTCCCAACTTCCAACTCCTGGGCTTAAGCGATTCTCTTGCCTCAGCCTCCCAAGTAGCTGGGACCACTGGCGCTCGCCACAATGGCCGGCCATTTTTGGGCTGCAGCCATCATTGTTATTTTGCAGATCTGGGCTGGACCCAAACCCACCAGCGCTGGTGTACATGGCTGGCGCCTTAGCCACTTGAGCTATAGGCACCGAGCCTGGGAGACTCTGTCTTAAACAAAACAAAACAAAATAAAAACTGAGGAGGGCAGTACTAGACTTCTGACAGGTATTTATTAAATACTCTGCAGGTAGAAATATCCCAAATCTCTCTCCAACTAAACCGGCCCCCTTTCCTAACCTGGTTCTGCCCATTTGGCTCAGGCCCAGAACTAGGTAGGCTATGTGGCCATCCCAGCTCCATGTCACAAGGTTTTAGTGGAGCCCAACCTCCCCATGGGGGGCAAAAGGACACAGAAGCAGGCATGCAGAGAACGAGGGAAAGCGGAAGGGACAGAAGGAAGGGAATGGGACACGTGTGTGTATCTCAGCTGTGGACACAAGATCCTGGGAAAAGACCCAACTTAAACTTCCGTTGGAGATTTGAAAGTCTGCATAGTTTCATGGTTTGAAATGCTGTATGGTTAAAGACGGCATGAACTCCTATCCAATGCTCTTGACCCAGGATCTTTTTCTGCTTTCATAGCATCTGCCTTGGTCCTTGAGGGTACCCCTAGCCACTTCTCCTCTGCTGGTCCCTTCTGGCCCTCCCACTTGCCCAGCCCCACAAAGCTCCCTCACCAAACAGGAATGAGCTGCGATATTCCATGTCCCCTGCCTTTTCCTGAGGAGCCTATGCCTCAAAAGAATTTAAGACTTTTTTGCTCAGTGGTGTCTGAGCTGGGTTCTGGAAATGGCGTAGACATAAGGAAAAGGAACAAAAGGGGAGTGGCTTCAGGTTCTGAGCCCTAGACCCTGCCTGAGTGACACAGGCAAACCTTGCTTTCATTTGACTAAAAAAGTTCAAGCTTTAAAAAGGACACATAACCAAACAAACCAAATGGCCTAAAAGACCCAGAGAGTCAAGCTCTGGAGATGAGGCACAGGTGCAGAAGTCAGGTTTAGGATTCAGATCCCATAAAGTGCAATTTGGATCACGCCCCGAGTCCTCCCCAACCAGCTCAGAGGAGAAGCAATACCTCTCCCTCTTCCCTCTCAGGACAGTGGAACCTGCTATTCTGAGCACAAAAGCATCTGGTTTAAAGTAGACTAGCAAGGATAGGAAGGAATCCCAGGGAAAAGGTAACAAGGTGCCAAGAATTACCCACACTCTGGTCAGGGAGCTAGAGTGACACCTACCTTGACACCGCCGTCTGACTTCTTGTTCAATAGGCTTTTGGCAGCTGTGAAAACAAAGAGGAAAATCACATCTCCTGCATTGTACCCTCTCCCAGCGTGAAGTCTGGCAGCCGGATCCACAACAGACTGCTGTGCTTGACAAGGGGGATGGGGGGGCCTCCAGAAACCCCTTCCAAGTAGCCCCTCGGCAAGAAGGCCATCTCCAGTGGCGCCAGAGCCCTCAGGGTGGCACTCCAGGATCTCCCATCATGGAAGAGGGCTCAGCAGAAATGGGCACACTGCGTCGTTTAGGAGGAGAAATAGTGTTCAGTACTGGAGCTGCCCGGGGCATTGGGAACTCTGCCTCTGACGGCTTCTACCCAGGCCTAGAAGCAAAGTGCCAAGGTCAAACAGTGAGGGCTCTGTTCCTAGGTGCCATGGAGGTTCTCTGGACAGCCAATCTGGAAGGATGCAAGACATCTCCTAAGAGTCTTCTTAAGAAACAGTGTCACAGTTCACAAAGAAGGCCAGACATGAGGACAGACAGACACAGACACAGAGACCAGGACCACCTACAGGAGGGCTTTGCCGGGGGTTGAAGCCTTCACTGGGCAGGTCTTCACCAGGTTTATTGGGTCCTAGCTGCCACCCTTTCCTCAGAGCCCACTTTCTGGACCCATGAGCAGAAAGGACTAGGCAGAATAATAAGCTGTCAAACAGATTCTAGCCAGGCATGGGGTGATGCTCAAAGTGATGAGCTCTGTGCCAGAAGGCCAATAGCACTGGCTGGCCACAGAGGCCACAGGGAGACAGCAAACAGTAGGTGGGAGAGTCTGGCAGGCATAGGGAGATAGAATCAGCCCAACTGTCTGATCCACCTGGAGTACCCTGAGTTTGTATCTTGGTTCCACCATTTTCTAGCTGTGTGACCTTGGGTGAGCTATTTAACCTGAGCCTCAATTTCTTTATCTATAAAAGGGAATAAAACAGGGCCTCCCTCACAGAACAGTGGTGGGGAGCCAATGGGATCATGCATGAAAAGCACTTAGCAGAGTGCTGGGCAGGTAGCAAGTACTGAGTAAGTGTTCACCACTATTGTCATTATTACTGCTTCCCTCCTGCCCTTCATATGGCCGCTTCTACCCAAGCTGTATCCCATCTCTCTCCAGGGAGAATAGGGATCCGTCTATCACAGGAATTCTGACTCTAAAAAATGGCCCTTGGCCCTATCTCCAGTCATGCTGAATTTGAAAAAATAGTTTTTTTAGTTTTTATTTCTTTCTGAGACAGAGTCTCACTCTGTCACCCCGGGTAGAATGCCATGGCATCATCATAGCTCACAGCAACCTCAAACTCATGGGTTTGAGTTGATCCTCAAAGTGATCCTCTTGCCTCAGTTTTTCTATTTTTAGTAGAGATGGGGTCTCAGTCTTGCTCGGGCTGGTCTTGAACTCCTGAGCTCAAGCAATCTACCCACCTCTGCCTCCCAGAGTGCTAGGCTTATAGGCATGAGCCACCATGCCTGGCCTAAAAAAATTTTTTTAATGTGTTTACTACAATGCCTGACCACATACTATCTAAGTGATTGACATTCAGCAGTCAGTTCTGAGCCCTGGTTGCCCATTAGAATCACCTGGGGAGATTTAAAAATGCTTCTACCTATCCTATGTCCTAGGGATTCTGATTTTTTTCTGAGTGGGGTCCTGGCACTAAGATTTGTTATAAAATCCCAGGCAACTAGCTGTACTGCACTGGAAGGGTTGAGAGCCTCTGACACAGTGATCTGAAGCATCACCAGGTTAATTCTTATGCCCACTGGAGACATGAGGAACCTAAGGCTGGAAGAGCTGATGTGACTTGATCAGGGTGTGGCAGGGCTAGGATCCAAAACCGGAAACGGCTGATTCCAAGGCTTCTGCAGCCTCCAGCCTTTCAGATCTGGAGGCCTGCGAACACCAGGCTTCATAATTTTGAGTGGTGTGGCTTCCCTGTGAAGTCTTAAACAGTGCTGAAGTCCAGTCCTATTACTGGGCAGCTCCAGGCCATACTCAGGGCTATCTCTGAGGGGTGACCGTCAGCCACAGCCCTCACAGGCAGGTCAGGAGGAAAAGCTCCTGTGCCCAGCTCCATATCCCCAGGCTCTTGCCTCCTGAGAGTTGGCAGGCGCCCAGCATGCACGGCTGGTTAGGAGGCTCTGTTACACCAATGTGCTCGCAGATGCCAAGTTAGGTGGTCTGTCCGGCATGCCCATCTCAGCCCGCAAGCATGGGACTCGCCTCCCTGGTGAGTGGGCCTGGCATGCTGGCCCTCCTGGTGGGGTGGCAGGGAGCCGAGGCAGGCAGTCAGGGAGGACTCATGCCACGTACCTTGCCCGGCCAGGCCGGCGGCGCTCGTGGCAGGCGAGGCGGGGGCGGAGCTCTGCCTGCCAACTGAGGGGATACAATCTCTCAGTGCACAGAGCTGCCGCAAAGCCACGGGGGCCTGTCAGCAGCGAGCATGCCCCAGCACGAGGCGCGGCAACCCATGGGCAGCCCACACACAGCACGGCCCGGGCAGCGTGGCCAAGCCAGCCGAGCTGTGGGAGCAGAGGCACCGGAGGCAGGCCGATGAGGCAGGTGCAGCCAGCCCTGCAGCAGTCTGGGGGCCTGAGAAGACTGGGGTTGGCCAGGGCGTGGGGAATATCACGTCTCTGCTTCACGGAGGTAGCTTTAGAGTCTGTCCCGTGACTTCAGGTGAGGGTGCACAGGTAAAAGCCTGACTTGGTGAGAGGCAGGTGGCCTTTCCCAGGTAGCCCAGTGCTAGCTTAAACTGTAAGGTCCCGCCCAGGCACCTACATGAGCCCTTTATCAGAGAGCCTGGAGCACAGAGTAGCCCCTTCCTCTCACCACATTCTAAACCATGGAGAGACTGGCACTGGGGGCCTAGAGAGGGTCTGTGGCCTTGTATAGCTGAGTTTACTGATAGGCCCCAGCTCCATGTCTCCTAGCCCCTCAGAGACAGGTCCCTTTCCTAAGGCGGTAGCCAGGAGAGTAGCCTTTCTCAGCCTATAGTTCAGTGCACTGAGGGTGAAATAAGCCCCCAGACAGAAAACAAAGGCTGCTAAAGCAATACATTCTAGAAGCCCTGATTTCACTATTAGCCAAGTCTAGGGCTCAAAAACCAGCCTAGCTCATGCCTAAGAGAACACACAGGTGCCCTTCCTTCTTAATTACATCTTCTTTCTATGTAAGTTTCCAGAGACAGGCTCTGTCTTTACCCGTCCCAGAGTAAGGGCAGAAGAGGCCATCCTAGTTTGTAACTTTATTTGTCTCTGATGACCCAGGGCAAACTAAGCTCAAAGGCCAGGAAAGGCCTGGGCAATAAGGATAGGAAGCTCTTTAGAGACGAATAAAGGTGATTTGTCCTGACAGAGCCGGATTTCCTGAAACCAGAACAGCAATTTCCTGAAATGGAAGGGGAGGTTGACATAAAGGCTCAAGGCCATGGGACAGGGCACTGGCTACTGACTGGCCAGGCTAAAAGAAGCAGTCGCCTGCCTTTGCATGGCTTTGACTCAGAGAAGAGGACAGGTCACCACTCTAGTGGCAGCAAAGAAATGCCTTGAGTATCCTCCAGAAAGGCTCTTACACCCAGAAAGTAGAAGCTGCAAGTAATTAAAAGACAAAAAGTACAGTGTGGGACTAGTGTTTCATCTCTCTTAGAGACAGCGAACTGCACTTTCCTGTTCTGATCTGTGACAGCTAAATCCAGAACCATAATCTTCCACTCATGGGTATCCACAACCCAAGAGCGAGCCCCAAACTGAGGTCATCGGCAGTGGGCCTGAGGTGGCCCACTCCCAAGGCCCACTATCCAGTCCTGGCATTATGGAGCTCAGGGTTTCTAAGGCTCAGACCTTCCTGCCTACAGCATCCTCCCAGCCAAGGCCCCAGGATACCATCAGGACTCAGGCTTAGGGGAGCAACCTCAGCCCAGAGTGGCTGCCTGCCCTGCATGGTGGCTGGTGCTCCTGCACAACCCCCTTTTTGTAGTGGTACAGAGGGACAGCGAGGGAGGGAGTCTTGTTATGAGGATGGGAAGGGTGATCTTGAACCAAAACAGCAAGGCTAGGGGTTAGAGGGAGGGAAGACCAGGGGAAATGGCAAGCTGGAAAGAGGCCTCTGTCTTTACTTAAGTCTTGACATTAATCTTTTTCTCAGAGAAAAGCCATGGTGCGTCTCCACTGAAGGCAAACAATGATGGGGTTTGGGGTGAGGGTAGGGATGGGGGGCAGTGGAGTGTCTTGCATCTTAAAAAGAAATGCCAAGTGTGATTTACACTTGTGCTGGTTCCAGCGCTCCCAATTACTTATGCAAATTTACAGAAGTTCATTTCCCTCTCTCTTGCTGGTCTCTGTTTCTTCACTTTTTACTGCTAGTATCACAGAGAATATTTTAAGCACAAGTTGCTGTCAAAGGTTTAAACAACTGGAATAATTTCTATCAGTTATTTCTACTTGGACACAATGAAGTAAGGGAGCTCCCAGTCAGCAAATTAATAGTGGTGATTCAGATGAACTATCCCCGTCTCTCTTTTTCCCTCCCCAATACCCTAGACTGGCTAAAATCTTAAAGTGCTGAGTGTCTTCAGAAAGTTATTATTTTATTTCATTTTACTGGAGTCTCACTCTATTGCCCTGACTAGAGTGCCAAGAATCCACAGGATAAGGTACATGGGAGGCTGGGCAGGCCACTTCTTGGGAGGTTCTAGGAAACAGAATTCATAAATGTGAGCCCAAGCAAAGCCCCCAGAATCTCAGTAATAGGACTCAGCAATAGCCCCTTAAAATAGGATTCTCATTTATCCTGGCCAAGGTGTTCCCCAACACTCCCAAGTGCCACATGGGATGGCAATGCCCCATTCCTGACCCACTCACCTCGGCAGAATTTAAGTGCACAGCTGGGAAAACATACCTGAAAAATTCCTGGAGACAAGCATGGTGGTGAGGATGGCGCCCTGGGGAAAGAGGAAGGTCCTATGAATTCAGTCCGACTCTGGAGAATGGTAGCCTGGTCTCAGGCAGAGGCAGCTTCTGGCTAGAGCCTGAAGACAATAGGTCTCAGCCCCCCAACCCCCAACATGTATAACCTTCATATGTCAGCTCCAGGCAGGAAGGAGCTCCCTTCTGTGACGGGGCAGGAGCCATACTTTTACAAAGCACAATTTCAAGGAGGCTGATAGCCTGGAAGTAAGACTCACCTTCAGTTTTCTCCGGGCATTGAACTTGCGCAAGCACTCTACGGTCTCTTGACGATGCATCATGGATGCCACTGTGGATCGTTGCTGGAAGCCAAACAGACAGGTCTGTGAGCCCCTAGCTCAGATCCCCTGGCCCCCACTATAGTCCCAGCACTGATGGCCATGCTCAGGACAGGATCATGCACTCAGCCATCCCAGAGTTGCTCTGAAGATAAATAGAGATCACAGATGTGAAAATATTTTTTAAATAAAAGTACTATCCCAAGTTGACAATCTGAACATGACACCATTAATTACTGATTAATTGAGGCTAGATGAGGGTGCCAAGAGCATTTCCTTGGGAAACGGAGGTTACAGGACAAGGGTATCCTGGGTGTTGTGATCCCTAATCGGTTACTTCTTCAGTATCTGTTTACTAACCACCCACTGTGTTCCAGATTCTCAGTAGGGAGAGAACTGGCAGGGCTCCTGCTCACTCCAGAAGCGTTCCTTCCTTCCAAGAGCCCCTCCAACACATCCCCAGCAAGGTCCTAAATGAAGCTGTAATCGCAGAAGCTAACGATCTTTACCGTGAAGCATCAATTCTTTTCATCATTTCGTCAAAGTGTTTACTATTAATTTCCTGGTCTCTTTAAAGAGAATCTACCAGACATGGTCTATATATCCTTGATGACTCAGGGTTGTCGATACAAGTACCAGTTATTATGTAATGTCATAATACAGTGAAGTCCTAAGGGGATACAGAGATATATAGGATTGTGGAAAGTGGGAGGCCACAAAAATGACCCCAGTTTTTGAGTGTCTGTTTTAAGTCCTGAATATCATTCAATGCTGGTGTTTAGTAGCCATCTCTT